TTACACTCACCGATCAACGTTCACTCCTCACATTCGGTTTTCTAGTTCACCGAAAACTTCACAACACACACTCGGTTTTCTAGCTCACCGAAAACCTTACACAACTCTCAATGTAACAAATATAAATTTGTTCTCTACAATAGATGAGAACACAATTAAGCACAACTCAATGTTACAATCTCTCACAACCCTAATATACTATGTATGCAAATACAATAAGCTCAAGTGGGTGGGTGTAACAATGAGTAAAATCAAAATCAAACTAAACTCAATTAAAATCTAGCATATAGAAATTATAAACAAAATAATAAATACCTAGAAATGAGTTTAGAGATTCTTCTCTGAATAACAAGATGGAGAGATGGAGATTGAAGCCCAAACAACAAGATGATCTCCTCCACTTGTGAAAACCAAAACAACTTTAAACCAAACTCAAACCAACCATAAACCCTTGTTAAAAACTTTCTTAAACTTGTTTAAAACACTCCCATGGTTACTGAGATAGAAGGGGGTTTGGGGGTTTATATAGAAAGAGGAAACAACAGCAAAAACCCCAAACAAATGACAAAAAAGCCCCAGCCAACGGTAACAGGTCGACCGAAAAAATTCGCGGTCGACCGCGATCCAGATCCCAAACTGAGAAAACGAGCAGAGACTTCTTCGGTCGACCGGTGCGGTCAACCGTGGAAAGTCTCGAGCTCTCGGTCGACCGCGACGGTCGACCAACGAACTCTCTGCTGCCCACTGACGAAAGAACACAGGTGCGGTCGACCGAGGACTGATACATGAAAATGAAGTTCTGAAAATAGTTTTTCTGATTTTAAAACACTGTTTAAAAATATCAAATAAATTCCAAAAAATGTAAAACTTTGGGGAATGATTGTAGACATGATAATAGACATGCTACAACGACTGGTTTCCAAAAAGGACTTCCCAAATGAAAAATATCATCATTTTGCAAAATAGTCCAAAACACGAAAATGTAAACATATGAATTTTGACATTTAGGCTAAACCATGTTTTGAAACTTTGCACAATGATTTTGAAGACTTAATAAAATATGTATATGATTATTGTTAAGTCCAAAAACTAAGAAAATAATATTTTCACAAAATTGTATATTCTATGCAATATATACTAAAACACAATAATAAATATGAAATATGTAATTTCATATTTATAAACATAAAAACCAAAACCATGCATGTATATATATAACTATATATATACATAGAAACCAAATACGTGTGTGTATATGATATTGAGCTTAAGGTACTTAACACACATAATATAAAACCTAAACTAAGTTACCCAAGCTAGATCTTGATTTTCAATAAGCTCGACTTGGTACACTATGCGGATGAAGCTTGAACTTGGATCTTGAACTTGAATTGCATAAGCTTCACTCCACAATTTCGCCAACCTCCGTTTGATATGATCGTTGAAGCTCTATTCCATCCATCCTCCAACTACGTTGTTTGTCTATAATAAATAAGAAAACACAAATACTAGACAAACAACATTAGTGGTAAATTGTTTGTTAAACATCATCAAAATAAGAAGGCCAATAATATGCTTCCAGCTCCCAAAACCCAAGAAAACGTGCTCCTCCCAAGACCTTTTCAACGGGTGCTTTGTCCCTAAAATGCTCCGCGATTTTCTTCCAGCCCCCAAAATGAATCCCCAGGCGTAACTCTGTTTAAACCCCTCACGAAATGCCCAAAATACCATTCGATTTAAAATTCCCCGTTATGAGTTACCTCGATGTTCGTACCCTGTCATCTCTCTTCTGTAAGCGAACCGACTCCAGAAACCCATTTCAAAACCCTAGCCCTAAATCAACCGACTCCAAAGCACATCGAATCAACACAAAGGGATTAAAATGGTCGGCGATTCAACCCCAAAGCAAGCCTCCGTGCCGACCACAACGAAGGCGATGACGTCCATCTGTCCAAAATCTCAAAAAGAGCCCAGACAACAGCAGTGTGTACTGAATCTGATGCTGAAGTTATGATTGATAATGTTCTAGAGGACATCGCAACCAGTCATTCTCAACCTAGAAGTCCACCTCAAAATTTAAGTCTAGGCCCCCGCCCAGATCTAGAGGGCAGAGCCGACACCACCGCCGCGTCCAACGATGCCACTAGAGCGCTCCTTGATCTACAGAGAGGAGAAAAAGAGAAGCTCGTGGCAGCACCCAAAAGGTATTTTTTACCGTAAATTTCATGTTGTTAATGTTATGATTTTATTGATAATGCTCCTTATCTGGTGGGAAGGTCCAAAATTGCGGGTGTCTGTTAGCTGTTGAGGTTACTGTTAACATGAAGGTTCATGCTTTTATTGTTAAGGTTGTTGTTTGGTTGTTGAGGTTAGTCTTTGGTTGTTAAGGTTATGGGATTGTTGTTAAGGTTGTTGGTTTCTCCGTAAAGTTTACAGCATAGTTGTTATTTTTACTGATTATTTTCAAAAATGCTTATGTCTTTTGTTTTTGTTATGTAGAAAAAGGGCAAAGCCAACTATTACGTTGCGACCCACCGCCAGCTTCAGTGCCTATCATGACTTCATGCGGAATTTGGTGATGCATATGGAGCCAATGCATTTTGCGGCCTACGAAGATAATGTATTCAGACACTACGTCCAATTTGGCCCACCTAGTGTCGATCTTCCCACCTTTGAGTACATTTTGAGTCAGTGGGACGAGAAAAGGAAGAAATTCATCTTCATCGATAGGAATGCTGGAGAAGAGATGGTGATGTTGCCGCGTGGGATGGTGATATTGCCGCATGGTATGTGGGGATAGGTAGGAGTCCAGGTTGTCTTAACTCTCCTCCTTGGGAACTAGAAAAATATATTGAATGCAGTAGCAGAAAATATATCTCGGTGACCGTGATAACCAAGTGCAAGTGAATAACAGTAAACATAACATTTAATCGATAAACCTAACAATCAAATAGTAACCTTAACAACCAAGCCATGACCTTAACACTTGTAATGATATACTTGACAACAAACCCATATATATGACAATAAAATGCTAAACTATATAGACTCGTTACAAGTTGTACACTAAACTATATTGTTAATTAGCGTGAATTAATAACCCGATGCTAACCTTAACAACTAATCCAAGACAACCTTATCAACGAAATGTGAATTAACAACCCAGCGCTAACCTTGACATGCAATCTGTAACCTTGATAACCAATCCATAAGCTTTACTATACAACGTTAAGGTTAACAATAAACCCATAAGCTTAACAACAATGCCCTAACATCAACATGAAACCCATAAGCCTGCCTGCCCAAGTGACTTCACTATTACAACAGAGATTTCTTGGATTCTGACTGTATAATAACATCAACCATTTGAATGCTAATAACGTTAGTTATTCCCCACTATCATTTCTCTAAGTTCCATCAACTGTGCTTGAATATAAATGGATTTCACCAAAGAGCTTTCCAGTAGTCTGGTAAGTTCACGGAAAGCTCTTTGGAGAAGGCCATTTATATTCACGCTCAGCTGATGGAACTTAGAAAAAATAACAATGGGGAATAGATAAGGGTAATAATATTCAAAAAGGTTGAAGCTATTATATGGTCAGAACCTAAAAATATTGAAGATGTCTTCATCAGCGTGAGGGCTAGCCATGATCTTCTGGTTTATGAGATTGGAGAGGGGAGAGCTTAGGATGATTGAGAAAAGAGTGAGGATAAATAGAGTGGCGGTGATGAGAAGATAAATAAGATGTAAATGTGAGGAGAAAGGTTATAGGCTGGTTCTGTCTTGGAACAAGCCGAGGGATGGTGAGATAACTCTACTGCCTTGGGAACTATGAAATGTATTGAATGCAGTCAAATCAAAAATATCTCGGTAACCTTGACAACCAAGTGCAAGTGAATAACAGTAACCTTAACATTAAAGTGATAAACTTGACAACCAAGTAATAACCTTAACAACTAAGCCATAAACTTAACAATTTTAACGATATACTTAACAAAATTCTGTAAACATAACACCAAACAGTATTCTTATCAACCACTCCATAGCCTTAACAATAAAAACGCTAAACTATATAGGTTTGTACGCAATTTTGACGATTGTGACCATCTATGTTGTATCGAGAGCACTTTAACAGGACGGGTGTCCGACGACCTGTTTTTAACAAAACAAACTCGTCTAGTACATGATCTTCCCAGTCTTTTTTTGGTGAGAGGAGGCTTTAACAATCGGTGACCCTGACAACCAAGTGCAAGTGGATAACAGTAAACTTAACATTCAATCGATAAACTTGACAACCAAGTCAAAACTTTAACAAACAATTCATAAACCTAACAACCAAATAGTAACCTTAACAGCCAAGCCATGACCTTAACATTTGTAACGATATAGTTGACATTAAATCCATATACATGACAATAAAACGCTAAACTATATAGGCTCGTTACAGGTTGCACGATTGTGACCCTCCACGTTGCATCGAGAGCACTTAACAGGACAAGTGTTCAGCGACCTGTTATTTATTCGTCTAGTGCATGGTCTTCCACATCTTTTTTTTGGTGAGAGGAGGCTTTAACACTCGCTCTTCTGGCGGTACAAAGCGCTTCTCGTAATCTGGGATGTGAAAGATGATCGATGCATAACTTGCTCTGAATGCGTCAATAGTCATGTAGCAATCATAATATTGATAAATCTCTCATCCCATCCATGTAATTGCAGCGCACACATATTTACAAGGAATGCGGATGATGTCCTAGGACCTGCAAGAACATGCCCGGTTCTTCAAATCTACACGATAAGTTTTATTGGACTCGACCTCCACAATATCTTATGTCGAATGTTTAATCGCCAAGCAGTTACCATGCTGAATATTATCGCACAACACCATCTCCGCTTCCGGGCATAAGTATCCAGACCATTTCTAAGCCACTAGCCTCCTTTCATGCATGCGCTCCATTATTTGCTTCCGTATGGTCTCAACCAGAGGTAAGATTTGCAACAATCATGCATTTCTTATCCAGCTGTTGAAGGACTCAACAACGTTTGAAGTAACATTGTCATACCTTAACAACAAAACACTAACATTAACAATAAAACCATAACCTAAACATTAAAGTCCTAACCTTAACAACAAAATTCTAAACTTAACAACAAAACCCTAGCAGAATAATTCTAACCATAACAATAAAACTCTAACTTTAATAGAAAACTATAGGCTAACTCTAACCTAAACAACTATAATGGTGCTGTAACAAAATAACGTTGAAACCAAGCTATCTTACCTTATACCAGGAAAATACGCATTTGCCCATCTATCCGGGGAGTATTTCATTACAGTGACGTAAGCCTTGTGATCGATCGCTACCAATTCTTTCATGTCATCATCCTATTCAGAAATTGTGTACTTATAAGCCACAGATTGTAACAGCTCGCCCAACGTAGTGGCGACATTTGCCTTATGCCCAAAATCCTTCATCTTCTTTTTAAAATTCTTGACTAGATGCAGAACACACCTTGAATGGAATGTATCTGGATAGAATTCCTCGACTGCTGTCCTAATATCCTTGTCGGCGTCGGAAATCATTACCAGTCGATGTGGAGGTTGGTAAGGATTTTCCATATCATACAGTAACGTCCACAATCATTGTAAGAACCATTTCCAGTTTATCTCATTCTCCTGATCACATACACAATAAGCAAGGGGAATATTCCCTGGTTACCGTCATACTCAGTGGCACTAAGTAGTATGCCTCTGTAGCGATCTTTAATAGATGTTCCATCCAAAAATAATATAGGTCTACACCTAGCAATGAACCCTTCAATACAGCCATTATAACTAATGAACAATCACTTGAACCTCCCGTCATCAGCATCAATAACAACAAGACTCTCTGGATTAGTTGCATGCACCATGGATTCATATCTGCATGAATATAACAACAAGCAGTAAATTTAACAACGGATTCATAACCATAATAACTGATCTTTAACCTTAACAACCAAAACGTATACTTAACAACGAACCAATAACTTTAACAACTAATATGTATAGTTAGCAACCAATACGTAAGAGTGATTTCAGAAGAATAAAAAAGAACGTACCATCTCAGTGAACCGTAAGCATTATCATCGTCACCGAACAGGTCCTGTTGAGCTGTCTCCTTACCCCACCATGTTTTACTGTAGTTAATATTGATGCCAAAATTGGAGAGAATGCCGTTCTTGATATCAACTACACGAAGATCTGGCCTAACCTTTAAAACAACTTGTATTTGGCTAGCAATGAACTTCCTTGATACCATTGAGTTGCCAGCATTTGCTCCATGTTGATCGCAGGTGTGGGTAGATTTGAAATTCTTTATGGACATGATAGACGAATTTCTAAGCGGGGAAGCAAACAACATCCAAGGACAACCATGTGTGTACTTGAATCGGCAATAGGCTCTTATGCGCCTTTGTTCATTATGGTAAAAATCATACTCGAACCGTTTAACAATTGAATAGTATCAAAGTGCTAACCTAACTTCAGGAGAATTATCAAATTTGTGACCAACTTCACGTATGGAGGTGTGCCACTCAGTTGGGATCTTTGTTTAGTGGTTAAGCATGTCTTCCAGTAGCATGATCGAGTCGCCGGTGGGGTTGTCATTAGGAATACGCTCATCATTACAGATTTGGGTGAACGTGGTATCTGCACACCGTGAATTTCCTGTCGGTATTGTCCTGAAGTAGTAATAAAAATACATAGCCTCAGCAACGAACTGATAACCTTAACAACAAACTTATAAACGTAACATCCAACACATATCCTTAACAACTAACCCTTATATTTAAGGGCAGACTCGTTATCTTAACAATAAACGCATATACTTAACATCAAACACATTACCATAGCAACCAACTAGTATACGTCGAACACATAACCTTAGAAAAAAAATCTTTAAACCTATTTCATAAAATAAGCCAAACAACACAACCTTAACAACCAGTACTTAACCTAACCTTGATAACCAACTCATAACCTAAACAACCAATGCATAAGGTTAACAACTAATGGCAAAACCTATCAGTGAACTCATAAGGAAATCTGAAGTGTAATTTCTACGCATTTTTCGGCGTAGTCTGCGTGTTCTGCGAAGTTGAGGATTCCCCAGCGAAGGTAGCATACAAATTCGCGTCTATAAATCCATTACTCCGACAATACTCAAACATCAAATTTAAATCATCGTCATTGTCAATTGAAATACTGAATTTATTTTTCCTTTAGCATATGAACTTTAGTGAAAGAGATTGCATTGGTATTTTAAGCCTTTCTGACACTTGATATTTCAAGCTGATTATTTCTGTATTCTCTTTGATAACGACGAATACATCGTCACCATCTTTGTTGCTTTTTGCCTTCGTTACCACACAAAGAAGAGATCCATCCGTCATTTTATTACAGGGAGTAGTTGAATAATCGAAGATGCTTTTATTGAGGAGAATTAAGTGGAAGGAACAGATTAGATGGGGTAATAGAATGGGGAGGAACTCAACGATTTTATTACGGCGAGAAGGGGAATATATGTGGTGATAATTTTGGAGGTAAATGAGAATTTTCCCCTCCAAAACGGCATTCTAATCACCATTTAATGCCTACAGTCGAAACGTCATGTTTCCGACGTGAGAGGGTGACGGTTACAGGCTGTGTTGGAGTATTTTGGGCATTTCGTGAGGGGTTTAAACGGAGTTATGCCTGGGGATTCGTTTTGGGGGCTGGAAGAAAATCACGGAGCATTTTGAGGGCAAAACACCCGTTAAAAAAGTCTTTGGGGGATGCACGTTTTCTTGGGTTTTGAGGGCTGGAAGCATTTTTCCCTAAAATTAATGATGTAATAAACTTATTCAAATAAGTAAAAGCCAATTGGGTTAGGGGCAAAGTTATCCGAGCAGCAGTCTCTGACTCAGCAAAGGTAGTTTAAATAAAGACTTACAGTTTTGGGAAGGGTTAAGGAAGAGCTAAGATAATTCAATAATTTCAAGTAAAAATGTTGAATTAGTTAACTTGTTAGATGAGCACTACATCAATACTTTATGCTCTTCTGGTGTTTAGGAAGGGGAAAGGTTTACTTCTTTCAAACGTGAAGAGAATATTTGTCTAAAAGTAAATCTTATTTTGACGTGTAACGTAAAGGACTCTAAGGTACCCGAGAAGCCACATTCAAATCTCATTAGCACATATTTAAATAGATTTTTAAAAAAAAAATATTTCAGTATAAAATTCCAGGTATTGGTCTAATAAAAAGATGATTAATATGCATAGAGTATGAAACAATGAAACCTCAGTTTCTAAAATCTTGTTTTGTACGTATACAAATCGTTTTTCCATTTTTTTAGAGTGATCGAGGGACGAAGAGAGACGATGCCCATATAAAATCATAAAAAGAAAGGAAAGAGAACATGATACGTACGTGACCACTATCAATTGTAAATCAGTGCAATTATTATACAATAAGATTACGTTAGTATCAGTACAATCAGAATTTCGTATCAATGCAATCATCAAAACTATATCACTATAATTAATCAGAATGATGTTATATCGGTGTTATCATGAACCTTAAAATTTATACTCAAAATAATATAGTTTTCCAGCCTCCCCTTATGATTTCCCACAGAATGCCCTCTATATGAATTTTTTTTCCTCTCTCTCTCTCTTCTCTCTATCTCTCTCTCAAAAGAATGAAGCCCAAAATGCCTAGTTAGCTCAAACTTAGGTGAACAACCATCACCCTGTCAATTTTTAAGAAGTGCCAGAAAACCAGCAGCTATCGATCCAAGCTATGATACCGCCAACTTTACAACCTCTTTAAGATTCTCTATGAATCTAAATCAGACGACAAAACCATCAACTATACAACCCATGGTTTCTGCTCTAACTTCTCTCTCTCTCTCTCTCTATATATATATATATATACGTGACATTGTCTTCCCTCTTCATCTTTGCACACTGAAACAAAAAAAAAAAAAAAAAAAAAAAAAAAAAAAAAAAAAAAGTCATTAGCTGATTTTTTTCTTAGTCTACCATGGCCTCTCTATTTCTCTTGTTCTCTGAGTTCCTCCACCCTGAAGATGCCGATTCCGCTGTCGAGAATTTGGCGGTGGCCGGAGTGAAATTTGAGAGGAGGAGGATGAAGGGATCAGCGGTGGAAAGTTCCTGGAAGAGCGAAGATTTTGAGGATTTACCCGAGTTGAGGGTCTCGGTCGATCAAGATTCTATTTGGCCTTAGAGGAATAGGTTTGAGTTCTCTCGGCAAAAAAAAAAAAACAAAAATAAAGCTACTGATTTTGTGATTACCGCCGCCGCCTATTGTTTAGTGGATGGCCTTCTGTTTGTGTTGGGTGAATGTGAAAACAAGCTTTTTCCTCTAATAAATATCTCAATGTAACCAAGCATATATAGGTTGAAGTGCGTAAAGGACATTTTCCAAAGTTCAGATGGTGTGACTGTTTTTTTTTTTTCTTTTGGGAGGTCATGTTGTTATGAATTTGAATCTTTTTTTTTTAAAATCATCAAACTAAAAGGAGTATATTTTTTGCAGACTTATTTATGCTGCAGGCCATTTACTGTGATCTTAAGGAAACTGCAATCCTCGGTCCAATCGGAGGAATGCACCACTGAAAAAGAGCTGTGCTGGTTTCTGTTTGTGCGTCCGTTCACTGTACATATCTGAGTCTTGAATTTGTTTCTCAGATATATATGAAATACATCGAAATTTTACAAATTTAATAGAACCTTGGATGACCGTGATCAATCAAGCATCTCGTCGTACAGGATTGGGCTCCTGGGTTTTTCTCTCCTATAACTTCTTCTCTTTTCGGACATCAACTCCTCCAAGTTTCTAGACTCGCTTGGTAACTTGGAGGAGAAGTATTCCATGGCCGTCGGGATCGATTCAGTCGTCTGATATGCTCTGGTCGGTGGTTCATTTGCGTTAGCAGGTTCCGGTAGTCCCCTTTCGTCTTCACTGTCCGACTCGTTTGATCTTGGGAAGCTGCTATCTGATGACTGAGCTGGGGAAAAATCTCCGACGCCCCTCAGGGTTTCTCCGTTCATTACGCAGCTCAATGCGCCTTCCACCTGAGATTTAGATTGACATGCTTATAGAATGAGATCAACAGTAACGTTTGACAATGAACTTATCCGTATACTTTGTTCATCAGACGATCGAGGTGATGTAACCCTATTACCTTATCCATGGATGGCCTCTTATCGGGGTCGCTGTGAAGACATCTTTCAGCGATGCGGACCATCCAGAACAGTTCATGAACATCATGGCCGTCCAAAATCCTCTCATCGATCAGTTCTGGGTATTTCTTTTCTTTCAGAAGTGGTCTTGCCTGTGCTAATAAAAATCAGGATTGACATCGAACGAGAATTATTCGAGCAACGGTAATGGCGAAGATGGAAAGAAGTAGGAAATGCTGAGAGCCTGAGACTTTACCCATCCTACAAGACTTTTTTCTCCAAGGGTCTTATCCGTAGTAGTCCTACCAGTGATTAGCTCCAGCAGAATTACGCCGAAGGAATATACATCACTCTTGGTCGATACTCTCCCTTTTTCTGCATATTCTGGGGCTAAATATCCAAATGTTCCGACAATTTTGTTCTTTGATAGCTGATGGGGACTGTCCTGTTGAGTTCTTGCCAGCCCGAAATCACCTAGCTGTAGTGTTGAGCAAAGAAGGTGAGTTAGCCTGTAAAATGCAGAATGTTAGAGCTTCAAATTTTGAAGTTATGTACCAATGGTTCATAGTCGTGGTTTATAAGAATGTTGTTGGGTCTCATATCTCTGTGGATTATGTTGTTTTGATGCAGATAATTTAAACCTCGAGCAACTCCGAGTGCTATATTCATCCTGTTTTTCCAACTTAAGATGTTGGGGTTGTTTTCTGCATCCATTCAGAAAATTGATTAGAGGCGCGAATTTTGATTCTTTCTCAAGTTAACCAAACAGAAGGTTTTAACAATTTAGCAGTTGATGAAACATATGGAGTAAATATGCCGATGATTTTTCTTACTTGATAGATGTATATCCAATGAACCATTGCAGATGTATTCATAAACGAGTAGCCGATGATTTCTTTCTGAGCATGAGCCCAACAATAGTACCACATTTTTGTGTGTAGCTTTGCTGAGTACATTGACTTCAGATCTAAATTCTCTCTCTCCTTGCAAACTTGCGCGTTTGTGTTGCTTAACCGCAATCCTTTGCCCATCTTTAAGCATTCCTTTATAAACCGCTCCAAATCCTCCTTCAGAAACAAAATTATGTTTTGAAAATCCCTTTGTGGCTTCATGAAGGTCCGCGTAACTAAATTCCTTCTTCAAGTCTGATCTTTGATGTTTATTTGTACACTCAGAACAATCCTGAGCATTGTTAATCTGCTCCTCAACTTTACACTCATTTGGAATTGGACCTGAGGCATCATTATTTTCGGATTCTTTTCGGATGATTACATATTCATCCTCTTGAAATTGAGAACATTGTCCACTGTCAATTCCTTTCTTATCATATGAGCCATTGTGGTAAGTGCTCTTGAATCCTGGAAGAAAAAAAAGTTCACTTGAGGACATTTAGAACCATTTTTTTTCCACTATATCGTATACTAGTGTTTTGTACATAATTAGGTTCTTGTGGCGGCATATGGACTTTTGGAACTTTAGGTAGAAAGTTGAAGACAAGATATCAGAATTTTTTTCATGTATACATTTTTCACCATGGGACAATGATTATTATTTTAATTAGTCAATGTTCGCTACATATTTAATGTCATAAGATTGACATAGGCTACTGTACTGGGATTCATGTAAGTTTTTTCTATGGCTAGCATAACCCCAGTCATGCATACCATATGCATCAGTCTCCTGAATTTTATTGAAATAAAACCCGACCTGTTTTAATTTACGAGTTTTCTTCAGTATAAGAACATGCATCATATTGTTACATCCACAGATCATATGTTATATACAACTGAAGTATCTTATTAATTCGATGTTATGACTATGAATCTGGTGGCAGGAAAGCAGTTTATTTTCAAGTAAAGTTTTGGGCTTTGCGAAGGAAGAGTAGCTCACTTGAGGGGGAAATATCCAGACTGAACAGATCTTCGTCATCAAGAGTCTCGTGCACTATCAAAGTCTTTCCTTGATTGGCTTCTTGTCCAGGTAAGGCCTCGTTGTTCTTCACATGTTTGATTTGATTTGCATAACTGTTTTCGCCATTTTTTTGAATTAATTTTGGTCCCCTTAGGAGTTCAACACAGTTATTTCTTTTCATCCTTGAGATGCCACAAGACAGCTTTTCCAGAAAATATTTCTTATCCTTCTTCATCTGCCTGTTGAATGAAGAAGCACCTTTTTAGAATAATTGTGCTTTCGAAGCTTTTCTTTTTGTTAAAGAATTATTCAACTATACTGAAACTCCAAAGTTGTGGTGAGAGGATTAAGGGTTATAGTTCTATATCCTATCATGCTCCCCGCAGGTTGAACGCTCTTGTCTGCAGGGACTGAAACCTGGACTTATGCAGCGGTATCATTTGTGGCGGGTAAGAATTGAATCTGAGTTGCTCTGCCACCATGTTGAAGGACCTCAGGACTATTATAGTTTTAGATTCTAAAACTTAAAAAAAAAAAGGCAAGAGCCCGTAACAAGTGGAATTTGAACCTCAAACTCCTCACATTGATAATAGACATATTGTTAACTTGTTGAATGTCAGTGAATTACCAATAACTACTTCAACAACAAATTCCATGCGTCTCTAATTATAAGTAGATATTAGTCTGAAAACTAGTAACCAACTATATATATTTTCTTAAAAAAGTAGTAAATAACATCTATTTAAAAAAATACTGAAAAGCTAATACTCCATTGTTTTTTTTTTCTTGTCTGACCTGTCAAGAATTATCCACGTTGCTTCTAATTTCTCGGCAGCTTCAAAAGCAGTTACTTTCGGCGAAGATGCTGGTACTACTTTTCTATGAAATGCAATCTGTGATACTCAAAAATCAGAAAGTATTAAATATAAATCACTTCTGAAATTACACTTAGACTTAAAAATGAGGAAAATAAGATTTTTAGCATCTATATCATGAGTCAACCGAAACATTTTAAGAAAAACGAAAACCTGATTCATTTCATAGAGCTTGTTAATCTCCAATATCTCTGCGCCGTTTTGGTACTCTGCTTCCTTCTTCATGACCTCATCTTGTATGATCTTTTGGTTAGCTCCCAAAATTGAGCTAGTATCTACCCTGCCTTTGTATCCCACTGGAAGCCAAGGAAAGAAAATGAGAAATAAGGTGAACAGTAAATGATTATCATTTTCACTTTTCTTCCAGAGTTCAAAAAATGCTCATCCTTTTCTAGGTCGGGAAAAAAAATTGAATTCTTACTGAACTTCCCAGCTCCTGTGAAGGAAAACGTACTAGGGGTATTAACCTGGTGAAGGACTCCAAGGAGGGTGAGCTCATCCCCAGGTTTAAGGGAGAGTCCCTCGATGGCCCATTTGATCGCGCTTGAACTGATACTTCTTGATGCATCCTGGATCACCACCACCTTTTGTTTCACATCGGACATCATTGAAGAAAATAATAATTTCTCTTTTTAAAAAAATTAAGAAAGAAAATAACGAGTATTTAACACTAGTATTTATAAACTTGATACTGAACTGGTAGGAAATATTGGAACCTATGAAGCTTATATAGATTTCGTGAAGTGAAAACAACGAAAAAATGTATGTTCAATTGATTTTGATCGACTTCTACTTTAAAAGTGGCGAATGTAAGTTGCTACGAAGTACTTGGCAAATTGGTATCTTGGAAAAATAAACAGGTAGTTACGTAGTTGGACATATCATGTAGGATAAAATGCAAGTTCTAGGACTCCAATGCCAACAAGAAAAATAGAAAGATATATAGACTTGAAATTGGAGAGGAAGACACTGATTGTATTGTATTTAAAAGCTAAAGGATGTTGAAGGTGGTGGTGGTGGTGGTGATGCAGGATAGAATCTAGTATCTAGGTTCAAGCGCATATTCTTGAAATCCTACCGAGGTCCTTTTGTATCGGGGTTTTCGGGTGAAGAGATTCATTTTAGCTGATGTCTGATTCTGTTAATTCCAATGATGCAACAATAGGTTCGTTATGTTTCTCATCTACAAGGTAAGCAAGGGGACAAAGTGGAGAAGGTATCTAGGAACGATACAGGTTGTATGTCAGTTTTCTTTTTGGATTGGTTATATAGACAAATTGCATGGTTACAAATGAATGAGACTGCTCCATTTTCTTAGTATTTGATTCCTATCTGGTCTTTGTAGATTCTTTTCGCAGCAGCGGTTCTTCTAGATTTTTCAAATCATAAAATATACTAAGTAATTTCGTAAAACCCTAAAAAGAAAAAAAGGATAAAAATATGTTCTCACTTCATAGTAATTTTAGTACTACTATTTGAAGTTTCCTAGATATAGTTATGGAGTAATATAATTATGATTACTTGCTCTATCTCTATGAATTCTCAGTCATACGTACAGAGAATGCATCTGCCGCCATTGATCTAAATCAATCCTAATTACATGCTTAGCTCTGCACTTAAGTTTATATATTGTTATTATCTATGTTTATGTCTACGTCAATTAACGTTGAGGAAGGAATTAAAAAAATGTCAGAAAAGGAGTGTGTACTACTCTTCCTAAGGAATATATTTGTGTAAGATGGACACGCAAGGACAAATGCGGTTGTTTTCATGAACTTTCCATGCAAATGCAAAAAACAATGTAATATTTCCAACTTGCATTGCATAAGTCCAGTTTCTTGGGCAAAATACTTAGATTGGCACATACTGATATATCTGTTAGTACTATCTCTATGATTTTAGTAAGGGGAGATTTTGGATGTTCTTGTAGGAAAACATCACATTTTACTTACTTGTAGAACGTAAGAAGCTGGGAGCTGCAAATTAGGAGTTCATTGTTGGGGATTCGAAACAATCAATCGAACCCTTGCCCTTCCGGACCTTGTGTTGAAAGTAGGAAAGTAGGAATAAACCACAAATAAAGATCTAACCTTGTAAAAACAGTAAAAGAGACGAACACACAGATTTAACGAGGTTCGGCAACGTGCCTACGTCCTCGGGAGCCACACCACACAATCTTTCTATTAATTGAAGAAGAAAATACAAGCTCTCAAACAAGGGGTAAATCTCTCTGAGATTCTCTCTCTCTTTGCAGTCAAAAAGCTCTCTTTTTGATGTAGTACAAACCCTAAAATCGTTTGGGGTATATATAGAATCCTGATTGAAACAGATTCCTAAACCGCCGGTCGACCGACCAGAGCGAAAACTTCTTCTCAGTCTCCTGCAGTGCACGCGGTCGACCGGCTCTGCCACTGCGGTCGACCGCTCAGTCTTCTGACTGTTTTCTTCGTCTTTTCGATTGCAGCTTTGGGTCTACACACTTAGACTAACAATCTCCCACTTGGAGACCAAAGCGTCATCAACAAGTTCACCCGAACTCTCCCCTTCTTCGCATGTATCCTTTCCCCCGAAAAATTCTTTCTTCAATCAACATCCCGACGATCGCGCCGATCCTCGTAGTGTGGCTCCGCCTTCGTCTTCTACTCGTGAAGACCAACTGAAGTTGCGCACAACTCCAGTTTCTCAATGGTGACTGCCTTCGTCAACATGTCCGCCGGATTTTGACTCCCCAAAATCTTCATTAAGTGCAACTTTCCGTCCTCGATCAGCGAGCGTATAAAATGGTATTTAACGTCGATGTGCTTCGTTCTGGCATGATATACTGGATTCTTGGCAAGATGTATAGCGCTCTGGCTATCACAATAAAGAACTCCTCTCCCTTGCTTCAGATCCAACTCTTCCAAACACCCGTTCAACCAGATCATCTCCTTGCTTGCTTCAGTCACCGCGACATACTCAGCCTCGGTTGTAGACAAAGTCACAATCTTCTGCAGACGTGAGACCCAGCTCACTGCTGTCGACGCTAAGGTATAAACATACCCCGTGGTGCTTCGCCTCGTATCATGATCACCGGCGAAGTCCGCATCCACGTATCCTTGCAGTACCAACTCCTTCCTCCTGAAACATAGTGGCTTGTTCATTGTTCCCCTCAAGTACCGCATTATCCACTTTACGGCCTCCCAATGCTGCTTTCCTGGATTGCTTGCAAATCTGCTCACAACTCCCACTGCATGGGCGATGTCCGGCCTCGTGCAAACCATCGCGTACATGAGACTCCCAATGGCCGAAGAATATGGCACCCTACTCATATGCTCTCTATATACATCTGTCTTAGGCGATTGCTCCTCAGATAACTTGAACTGACTTCCAAGGGGTGTGCTAACAACTTTAGCATTCTGCATGTTGAACCTCTGAAGTACCTTCTCAATGTATTCAGCTTGGCTCAAACTCAATGTCCCTTCAGCTTCATCCCTACTGATTCGCATCCCTAGAATCTGCTTCGCTGCACCCAGATCCTTCATTGCAAATTCCTTTGCTAGCTGCCTCTTCAAACTGTTTATCTCTTCTAAACACGGTCCTGCTACCAACATGTCATCAACATATAATAACAAAATAATGAAGCTGGACTCGAACCTTTTGAAATAACAGCAATGATCCGAATTGCATCTTCTGTAGCCATTGTTCTGCATGAAGTTATCAAACTTCTTATACCACTGTCTCGGAGCCTGTTTCAAACCATATAAGCTCTTCTTGAGCTTGCACACCATCTCTTCCTTTCCTTCTTCAATGAAGCCAACAGGCTGCTTCATGTAGATTTCTTCATCCAAGTCACCATGAAGAAAGGCAGTCTTCACATCTAACTGCTCAAGGAAGAGGTCTTCTGCAGCTACCAAACTCAACACCACTCTGATGGTTGTGAGTTTCACAACAGGGGAAAATATCTCCGTGTAGTCCACTCCTTCCCGCTGTTGAAACCCTTTCACTACTAATCTGGCCTTGAATCTCTTGCTTCCATCACTCTCCTGCTTGACCCGGTAGACCCATTTATTGTGCAAGGCTTTCTTCTGTGCAGGTAGCTGGGCTAACTCCCATGTCTCATTAGTGAGTAGAGAATCCATCTCCTCCTGCATCGCATGCTCCCACTGCTGAGATTCACTCACTTGCACTGCCTCTTCATAACACTCCGGCTTCAGAACAAACATCATCACCCCTATCTGGAAGTTCCTCTATATCCATGTACTCGGATCCACCTGTATCCGTAGTGCTGCTCCCACTGCTTTGGCTATCCTTGGCATTGTCCCTGTCCTTGTACATCACCTCCTCATTGAATATCACATCCCGGCTCCTGATGATCTTCCTGTTCTTCTCATCCCAAAGGCGATACCCGAACTCATCAATGCCGTATCCAATGAATGTGCACTTCTGTGACTTAGCTTCTAGCTTGTCCCTGACATGGTCACTGATATGAACATAAGCCACGCAACCAAATACCCGCAAGTGTGAGAGATTTATCTTCTTTCCACTCCAAACCTCCTCTGGAATCCCAAAATCTAATGGAACTGATGGCCCGTGATTAATAAGGTAAGCTGCTGTATGTACCGCATCCGCCCAAAATGTCTTAGGCAGACCTGCATGTAATCGCATGCTCCGCGCACGCTCTGTCAAGGTCCTGTTCATCCTCTCTGCAATGCCGTTCTGCTGCGGCGTCCCTGGAGTAGTCCTCTCTAAGCGAATCCCATTCGTAGCACAGAACCTCTTGAACTCCTCCAGCTCGTATTCTCCACCATTATCTGATCTTAAGCACTTCACCTTCAGATCTGTCTCGTTCTCGACCATGGCCTTCCACTTCTTGAAGATCTCGAACACCTCTGACTTGTGCTTCATGAAGTAAACCCACACCTTCCTCGAGTGATCGTCGATAAAGGTGACGTAGTATCTCGAACAGCCAAGACACACTGGCTGGGCCCCATACATCTGTATGAATCAACTCTAGCTTCTGAGCCTTAGGTGGCCTTCCACCCTTCTGGAAACTAACCCTCTTCTGCTTCCCAAAGATGCAGTCTTCACAAACCCCGACTTCCACGGTGTCGATCCCGGTTAGCTTTCCTTGTGAATGTAGAATTTTCATCCCTTTCTCGCTCATGTGCCCCAGCCTATTGTGCCACAGATCTGTACTCTCCTTGCCAGCTGCAATTGCGAGGGTGTCACTCGCATGTGAAGTGAGGTAGAGAGTTCCCGTTTTGTTGCCTCTGGCAACAACCATCGTACCGTTGGAGATCCTCCACGAATCCCCGGTGAATGTCGAAACGTAGCCTTCTGCTCCAAGCTGTCCCACCGAAACAAGATTCCTCTTCAGCTTCGGCACGTGTCTCACGTTCTTCAAGTTCCACTTAGAGCCCTTTATCTGTATCTGAACGTCGCCCTTTCCAACAATATTGCAAGGTTCATTATCCCCCAAGTATACTTTACCAAAGTCCCCTGCTACATAGTTCTGAAGTAGTCTCCTATTAGCAGTGGCGTGGAAAGAGGTTCCTGAGTCGATGACCCAAGAATCAGAATCGCTATCCATAGCAAGGATCAAGGCATCCTGCACGATATGAGCCTCCTGCTCACCCGCATCCTTCTTTGGTGCTTTACAGACCGAAGACATATGGCCCTCCTGGCCGCAGTTCCAACACTTCCCTTTGATAGACCTAACCTTCGAGTTCGGCCTCTTCTTCACTGATTTCGACCGATTCCTGTTCTGGTTCCCTTTCTTCTGGCTTCTGCCTCTCTGCTCGAAACTTAGGGCTGAACCTGAACCTTCTGATTCGGACGATTTCCTTCTAACCTCCTCGGATAGAATCATGCTAACAACCTCATTCAGCTTCAACTTCTCTTTCCCCGCCGAATTGCTGATTGCCGTCACACAACCTGCCCAACTATCCGGTAACTGCGATAGTAGTAGAAGGGCCTGCACTTCGTCATCGAACGTGATGTCCACGGAGATAAGTTGATCAACAATCGTGTTGAACTCGCTGAGGTGCATCGTGAAGGACCGTCCTTCTGCCATCTTGAGGTTGAAAAGAGTTTTGACTAGATGCACCTTGTTTGCTGCCGACGGTTGCTCGTACATCTTCGCGAGCGCTTCCATAAGCCCCACCGTCGTCTTCTCCTTCAGAATATTGTGGGCTACTGATTTGGCGAGCGACAACCGGATTTGCCCTAGAGCCTTCCTATCCAGTACCTCCCAATCACCATCTGACTCCGTCGTCTTCTTTCCCTTTTCCTTGCCCAGAAGCGGGCGATACAAGTCCTTCTGGTACAGATAGTCCTCCATCTGCGACTTCCAGTAGGCGAAATCCGATCCGTCGAACTTCTCAATCTTTGATTTGCTTTCCTCTGCCATGGCTTTCACACAAATTGCTGAACGAAGCTCTGATACCAGTTGTTGGGGATTCGAAACAATCAATCGAACCCTTGCCCTTCCGGACCTTGTGTTGAAAGTAGGAAAGTAGGAATAAACCAAAAATAAAGATCTAACCTTGTAACAAACAGTAAAAGAGACGAACACACAGATTTAACGAGGTTCGGCAACGTGCCTACGTCCTCGGGAGCCACACCACACAATCTTTCTATTAATTGAAGATAAAAATACAAGCTCTCAAACAAGGGGTAAATCTCTCTGAGATTCTCTCTCTCTTTGCAGTCAAAAAGCTCTCTTTTTGATGTAGTACAAACCCTAAAATCGTTTGGGGTATATATAGAATCCTGGTTGAAACAGATTCCTAAACAGATCAGGAAACTGTCTGGGCGATTCGCGGTCGACCGCCGTGCCAAGGCCGGTCGACCGGCCAGAGAAAAATCTGTTTACAGGGTCCTGTGCACATTTGCGGTCGACCGCAGCGGCCACGCCGGTCGACCGACCAGAGCGAAAACTTTTTCTCAGTCTCCTGCAGTGCACGCGGTCGACCGGCGCTGCCACTGCGGTCGACCGCTCAGTCTTCTGACTGTTTTCTTCGTCTTTTCGATTGCAGCTTTGGGTCTACACACTTAGACTAACATTCATTAAGCATTCGATCTTGAACTCGAGCTTCTTAGGGTTCGTCAATCATGTATTTATACTTCATTCATAGACTAAGGGGTTGTTTGGTTCTCTATAGCTCTATTTTTGCAATGCAGTGGATTTTTTTAATTTCTGTTGTCACATGTAGTTGTAGTTGTAATTGCTTGGTTTAAATTTAAGATTTTTTTTTAATTGTACTTGCAGTTGCAATTTCAGATGTTTGTCTAGGGGTACGTATGGTTGTGCTATATATTAAATTTTGAATATGTATAATCTCATTTGCGTCTCAAAAAGATTGCAACCACAACTTATGTCCAAATCTGTGCGAGTCATCTGCTGCAACTGGAGGTGTTTTTACGACGGCTTTCATTATTTGCAGATTAGAAACATTTCAATTGCATCCTTAGTGCAGTTGCAGCGAACCAAACAGCCCCTAGCTTGAAATAAAAATAAAGAAAAAAATTTCACCAACCAGTGATATTCCTAACTATTTCCACGTCATGACAATTCTTGTAGATGATATCGACGCTTTTTCTACTGGAGAAACTTAAAAAAAAAAGTGTAGAAATGGAAATTAGGATCATATATGATATGGACTATGGTGATGATACTGAAGCAGCACGGGTCAAGGAACGAACTACCTGCAGAAACTATCCAAGCCATGAACAGACAAAGATCCAAATTAAAGGCATTATTCAAGATTTGCCTTGGCATCCAATAGAGCAGTTCCTTGTGTATATAGACGTGTATTTTAATTGTCTTGTAGATTGCTCTCGTCTGCTGCATATGCGTATGATTCTTCGGCCAATTTGTATTTATTTCCTACGTATTATTGTTGGGCTCCATGCATTATTGAGAGATGAAAGCATTATTGGGCTTTACACAGCGACTACTAGAGAAGTTTGGGAGCCACGAGTAACCTGGATGGTTGGTATGTTTTAATATGGCTCACATGATCTCGGATTCCGATCTGGTTACTAAAAAAGCCTAATAGATTACTTATAGTTAAAATAAGGTACAAATTTCAATGAATTTCGGCATAACAAATCGAATCTCAATATATTCTGATAATAAATCAGAAAACAAATACTTGCTGGGAACAAAGGTGAAGAATAATGCTCCAGATATCAACATAATTAAGAATGGGCCTTGTTTAAATGATTCACATATCAGATATCTGTCCACTAACATATCAAAAGAGGAGATTAAAGCAGCTGTTTTATTTATGCCTGATGGGAAAGCTCCAGGGCCTGATGGATATAATGCAGTTTTCTACAAAACAACCTGGGGGATCATTGGAGATGAGGTTACCCAGGCCTTACAAGAATTTTTCAAATCTGGAAAGATGCTAGGTATGGTAAACTCTACTTCTATTACCTTGATTCCTAAAATCCAATGCCCCAAATCTCCATCTGACTATAGGCCAATATCATGCTGTAACTGTTTATATAAAATCATCTCAAAAATTCTGGCTAATAGGCTCAAAACTGTTATGGGTCACTTGGTAAATGAAGCACAAAGTGCCTTTGTCAAAGGTAGGCAAATATCCAGCAATATAATGCTTGCTCATGAGTTGATTAAAAACTATGAGAGGAAGTATATCTCACCTAGAATTATGCTCAACATCGATATAAGGAAGGCTTTTGATACTCTCAGCTGGGAATTTCTGGAGGACATGCTGCAAGGGCTTGGCTTCCCTAGTAAAATGATAAAATGGTTAATGGCTTGTATCTCTACCCCAAAGTTTTCTATCTCTTTAAATGGTTCCCTCCATGGTTATTTCAAAGGGGAGAGGGGACTGAGGCAAGGTGACCCCTTATCACCCTATCTCTTCATTCTAGGGATGGAATATTTATCTAGGATATTGGATAAATTGAAGAATGAGAATAATTTCAAATACCATCCTAGATTTGGGAGACTAAAAATCACTCATCTTGTATTTGCGGATGATCTTCTTCTTTTTGCAAAAGGGGATTTACTCTCAGTCCAAAGTCTGTATCAATGCTTGAAAGAATTCAGTGCTGTCACTGGCCTTGAAGCTAATCCTGAGAAGTGTTCAGTTTACTATGGTGGAGTCTCTGACACTGTCAAAAAATCAATTGAAGATTTCCTGGGATTCAAAGAAGGATTATGGCCAATTAAGTATCTTGGAGTTCCTCTCCTGCACAAGAGACTGTCCTATGTTGATTGCCTCCCACTTATTAACAAGATTAATGGTCAACTGCAGAGCTGGATGAAATGCAAAAATTTATCATATGCAGGTAGAATTCAGGTGATAAAAAGTGTTATCCTTGGAGTTCAAATCTATTGGACTTCAAGCTATTATCTACCTATGAAAGTTCTTCAAAAAGTGGATGAATTATGTAGGAGTTTTTTGTGGGGGGAAAATGAACAGTCACTCAAAGTTGCTCTTGTTTCATGGGAGAAAATTTGCTTGTTTAAGGATCAGGGAGGCCTGGGTATCTATTCTGCTGCAAACTGGAACAGAGCCTCTGTCTTGAGGAATCTGTGGTATGTACATATCAACAAAGACCTGTTGTGGATTAGATGGATACATGGTATTTACTTAAAAAGAGACGGCATCTGGCAAGTAAAAGCAAAAAATGGGGATTCTTGGACTTGGAAGCAGATGTTGAAAATTGGAGACTATGCTCTGATTCAATGTGGAGGGGAGGAAAATCTAAAACATCTCTTAGCTTCTTACTGCAAAAATACCAAAATTCAGCTCTCTTCTCTTTACAAGCTATTCTCCCACAATGCTAGCAAAGTGCGATGGAGCAACACTGTTTGGGGAGGTTTGAACTATCCTAAACATTCCTTTATATGTTGGCTTGCTGTCCAAAACAGGTTACAAACAAAGGATAGATTGATGATGAGAGGGATCGTAAATGATAATAATTGCACTTTGTGTTCGGGTCAGGAGAACAGAGACCATTGTTCTTTTGTTGTCCTTTCTCAAGTGAGATTTGGAACCAGGTGATGTTATGGCTCCAATTCAAATGGATTGTTCTTTTGTTGTCCTTTCTCAAGTGAGATTTGGAACCAGGTGATGTTATGGCTCCAATTCAAATGGAGAGCATGCAATTGGGATAACCTTCTTGAAGATTTGGAACCAGGTGATGTTATGGCTCCAATTCAAATGGAGAGCATGCAATTGGGATAACCTTCTTGACTGGTACTGTAACAAGCTTAGAGGTAGAGGAGACAAAGTGAAAATTAAAAGACTGGCGTTTACTACCACCCTGTACAAAATTTGGTGCGAACGCAACTGCAGAATCTTCAAGCAACAGTGCAAAAGCAAAGACCAGTTGGTAAAGGAAATCAAGATGGATATATTGATCATTGTCCTCAATAGCTCCTTGCCGGATATATTCAAAGAATGGATTAGTCTCTGTAAATAGCTTAGAAAAATGATCCTTTTTGTTTTGTTTTTGAATTTTTGAAACCTCACATAGGAGGTTCTTGATGTTCTTAAAAGCTTACATTTGGTGAATGAATAAAATTTTTTCATTGACCAAAAAAAAAAAAAAATCAGAAAACAACACACAACAATCTGAAACTTCCAAATCTTTCTAGATATTTGTATCTTCCAAACAGTAGGTACACTCAATGGATGACGTGCAAAATACAAAGCAAGCAAAAAAAATTTTCCTAGATTGGGTATATTTTTTTATATATGCTCTCTGAATGATCCATTATAAATCTGCCAAGTATGTTACAATCAAGGACTTTTTCTTTATATACCCTTCGTGTTGTAGATATTTTCAAATTTGCCCTTCAAATCTTTATAATTTTAAATTTATGCTTCAAAATTTTCCCCCTTTCCTCAAATTTACCTCTAGCTTAACTACAGTTAAACTTTAGCTGAAAAACCGTATGTTACCAAGGGTTTTTTCCCATATATACCCTTCAAATTGTAGCTATTTTTAAATTTGCAGTTCAAATCTTTATAAATTTAAATTTATCCTTCAAAAAAATTTTCCTTATCTCAAATTTACCTTTAGCTTAACTACAGTTAAACTTTGGCTTTGGTCCCCGTACTAGGCTTCATGCTCAAATTGATTCCTGCACTTTATTTTTTTCTCAACTTAGTCCATGTACTCCTTGTTTCCTTGTTAGATGTAAACTTAGTTTGACTTTAACTCTCCGTTAAAGATTATGTCTAATAAAAATCAGAAGGACAATAAGACCCTACCCAGTTATAAAATTAAAAATAATACATCCATTGTCAACTGGTTCTATTAAACTAGAATATTAATTTCTTGTCAAAAATTCAATTCAAGTAAGCTTCTCTCCGAGGAAACTGATTCCAGTCATGAAGTGCGAGATAAATGCTTCAGCATAAGTGATCAAGATTCAGAATTATTACTTCAGCAGCTAAGACCATGAAGAGCAGCAAGTGCATTGCTTTTCGTGATTGCTTGTGTTGGGCTCTGATACCACTTGTTAGGTTCTGATACCACTTGTTGTGCGCGGCGGAAGTCAAAACCAAACCGATGTGCTTCGAGAGCCCAAATCAAACAAACGCCGAGAGAAGACCAAACAATGCAAAATAACAGCACAAACTCAAACAACCAATTTTAACGTGGTTCGACAAGTTGCCTACGTCCACGAGGCAAGAAGGGGATGAGGTTTTTATTAATAGAAAAGAAGAGTACAAACTGAGATTATAAAATCACACAAACTCACTAATTAATCTCACCAACAAAGCTCTATTCTCTCCAAACAAAACGCTAACCAATAGCTCAGAAAATACCTCTTTTCTGTGCTCCAAATATCCCCTTCGCTAATTTTCTCTTCTAAAACATTTTATATATATATATATATATATATATATATATATATAAATCCTAAAACCAAAACATACTAAGAATTCTAAAACCAAAATCAAAACAGATTAGGAATCCTAATAACCTGTTACCAAAACAGATTAGGAATCCAAATATTCTGTTACCAAAATAAATTAGGAAACATATTAGGAACATGTTATCCATCAATTCTCCACATCGGCGAAGTTTTTTCAAAATTGAGCCGACACCAACACCAAACAAATGGCTTACTTGTTGCGTCCAGTACAAAGTAAAACAAAATCATAACAACAGACTCAATCCACAACAAGTCGAGACCCAAACAAGAATGTGATCACTCTCCAAACGTCGGTATCTACTCATCAAATCGGCTGTATCATAAATGACTGCCTACGTATCCTCTTGCTCAAGGAATCAAGCCTTCACGTAGTTCTCTCAATGGTCTCCAAAGGCCCTCAATCCAATAGGAGAGTTCTCAACTCTTCACCAACATCACCAACGAATCTGTAACTGATAGCCCTCCTAATGGCCCCAAAATAAAACAAACTAAACACCTTCACCTGAGATGAACCAACGACCATATCCAAATCGAAACAATGTCCACCAGCTGCACTCGAATCAACCAACTCATCAATTGCATCCAAATCCAAATGATCCCCAAACTGTGTCACCTTAGCTGGAATTTCAAACAATGCAGTATGATCTAGAGTATGTGGAGTAATCTCCACCCAACGTGGAGTAGCATCGCCCTTCACCCGTTGTGATATCCCAACGATCTGATCAACACTCTCTACCTGCCGAGAGTCAAAAGTGACATACCTGCTCAGAATAAAATCAGAGTCTCCCAACTGATAACCAAACGAGGTTCTGAATCCCAAATGTGCAATCGGGTCAAATCTCACATCCTTGATGTGATCAAATGCTGGGCAACCAAACATCCAATGCAACCTAAAATCTAAAGCAGCTCCATCAGATCTAAAATATCTAAA